AACATTTCAAATATAGAAACTGATTAGCATAGTATTCCAATAGTGAATATGCTTACATTACAAAGAAAAAGGCTTAGCGGATGAGATTTTAGAGGTATAGCAGTTTAACGAACGTTTCAGAACCAGGCCAGATAGACTGTGACAGTAAAAGAAAAAGGGCCAACCTGTGGAAAACCAGCAAGCAGAACCCAGTCACAAACGTACTCTCTTCTCCTCTGGTTTCCAGCAACTGGCAGTCAGAAGCACACTGTCGCCAATCATGGAGGCATAGCATAGCCATTGATAGCTATGCTATTGATTTGTCTAATCCTCTTTTAAAGCCGTCCAAGTTGGTAGCCATCACTGCCTCCTTTGGGAGTGAGTTTCATAGTTTTAACTATGTGGTGCAGAAATAAGTACTTTCTTTTATCTGTCCTGAGTCATCCAACATTCAGTTTTACTGGATGCTCTTGAGTCCTATTGTCATCAGAGAGGGAGAAGAACTTCTACCTACTTTCTCCATGCAGTGCATAATTTTATAATCCATCAGGTAACCAATTCTCACTCATATTTTCTCTAAACTGTTAAGCCTCAAATGCTTCAATGCTGCAATCTTTTCTAATTTTCACCGTTTTGGCTGCCCTTTCCTGAGCCTTTTGCAACCCTACAACACACTTTTTGAAGTGAGGTGACCAGAACCGTACACAGTATTCAAATGTGGTCACACCATAGATTTGTACAACAGCATTATGATATTGGCAGTTTTATTTTCAATTTCTTTCCTAATGATCCCTAGCATGGAATTTGCCTTTTTCACAGCTTCCACACACTAGGTCAACATATTCATCAAACTACCACTACAACCGCAAGCTCATTCCTGGTCAATCACTACCAGTTAAAAGCCCATAAACATATTTGTGAAATTAACACACACACACACACACACACACACACACACATATTTGCCCCTGCATGCATTTCTTTACACTTGTTTATACTGAATTTCATTTGCCATTCACTCAGTTTGGACAGGTCTTGTTGGAGCTCTTTGCAATCTCTTTTTGTTCAAACAACCCTGAACAATTTAGCATTATCAGCAAACTTGGCCACCTCACTGTGCACACATAATTCCAGATTGTTTATGAACAACTTTAAAAAGCACAAGTCCCAATGCTGATCATTTCTGTCTCTCAGTTTGTAACAACAACAACAACAATAATAATAATAATAATAATAATAATAATTTTTATTTATACCCCGCCCTCCCCAGCCAAGGCCAGGCTCAGAGCGGCTTACAAGCAATAATAAAAACAAGTTGAATGATTACAACTTAAAAACAAAATTAAAATACAACATTAAAATATTGAAACATTAAAATATTAAAATGTAGCCTCATCGCAGGAGGAGAAGGAAAAGAAAAAAGAAAGAGAGGGAGGGAGGGAATCAAATTGGCTCCAAGCCAAAGGCCAGGCGGAACAACTCTGTCTTACAGGCCCTGCGGAAAGAAATCAGATCTTGCAGGGCCCTGGTCTCATGAGGCAGAGCGTTCCACCAGACTGGAGCCAGAGTTGAAAAGGCCCTGGCTCTGGTTGAAGCCAATCTAACTTCCTTAGGGCCCGGGACCACTAGGGTGTTGTTATTTATGGACCTTGAGGCTCTCCATGGGGCATACCAGGAGAGGCGGTCCCGTAGGTACGAGGGTCCTAGGCCGTGAAGGGCTTTAAAGGTAAAAAGCAGCACCTTAAATCTGACCCTGTACTCCACTGGGAGCCAGTGCAGCTTGAAAAGCACTGGGTAAATATGCTCCCATGGCAAAGACCCCGTGAGGAGCCTCGCTGCAGCATTCTGTACCCGCTGGAGTTTCTGGGACAGCTTCAAGGGCAGCCCCGCGTAGAGCGAATTACAGTAGTCAAGCCTGGAGATGACCGTCACATGGATCACTGTGGCCAGGTCGGGGCGGGAAAGGTAAGGGACCAACTGCACTTATAGAACTGTGCATTTATGTGTACTCTCTGCTTCTTTAAACTTAACTAATTCCTGATCTGCAAGAGGACCTCTCCTTTTATCCCATGATTGTCGAGCTTACTCAAAAGTCTTTGCTGAAAGCTTTTTGAAAGTTCAATAACATTATGTTAGCCAGATCACCATGTCTTGCAGTCCATGGACCAGGGGAACTAGGATAGTCCCCTAAATGTTTCCAGTAAATTAGAGTATTAAAGTATTAAAGCCTGGCACTTCCTTCCCAAAGCCCAGGAAGCTTCTTCCCAGCTTAGGGAAAGAAGCATAATGTTCATGCTTGCAACGTCACATGCATGACATCATTACACAGACGACATCATCACACGGACATCACCCTCACATGCTGGTCCTCTAGCCCTAACTGCCGTTCCCCTACACAAAATTTCACTGCACACCACTGCACATCACCTCTATCTATTTGCTTGTTGAAGAATTTTGGAGTCACATTCTCAAATATCTCATAAAATAAAATTCATTAATGCAGTATCACACACAGACACCCACCCACCCCTTGAGATGGTAACATCTGAGCCAAGCCATTGCGCAGGGCTTCCTAGCCTCTGGCCCTCTAGATGTTGTTGGACAGGCCCAGCCAGCACGGCCAATATACAGGGTTGATTTAAGTTGTAATCCAGCAAAATGTGGAGGGCCATGGGTGTCCCCCCCCCCATCCCTAAAACAAAGAATCACAGGAGACTGCTGCCATATCATTTTTCTGCTGATGCCTGCTGCATGCTTGCTGCAAAAAGAATCCAAATTTCTGTAGCAGGCTCTCATTGCCTCATAGTTTCAAACCCATTTGTTTGTACTTTTAGAAAACTAACACTATTCAATATTTAAAAGATGTATATTGACATTTTAGAAAGTTAGCTTGAACTCATTCAAAGAAAATTGGATCAAATTGAAAATGGTAATTAAGCCGATTAAAAGGGGAAGTAAAATAAAACACTGTGTACCTCTTAGAAAGCATTCACATCTAGATAGTCTAATTTACATACAAGTGACATCATCATTAAAGAGAGTGACTTTTTTAAAAAAGGGGGGGTTCTTTTTGCTACATGATTTACTGCTAAGGAGGGGCTGATTTCCACGAGATTGATGGTGCCCTTGATGCAAGTTGATATGGTTTTGTTTAGCAGTCAGCAAATGGCATGTGATTGTATGAGGTTTCGTTGAGATGAATTGAACTGCAGCAGCATTGCCATTTGGTTTGAATTACCATGGAGTGTTCTTTTTCAGTGTATCATTTAATGCACATTATGCTTTCCCTGCAAGGAATAACTGTCCTTCTTTGGGATAAAGGTTTATTCAAGGAGGGATAGGTATTTCCTAAATAGATAGAATCAAGCAGGGGCAGTCAAGCCATTGAGCTTGTGGGGCCAGTCTCCTTAGAGATGTGGAGCCAGTTGCTTTGGGAGCAACTACAGCCAACCTACCACTACAATAAGCCAGCAGCCTATGGAATTGGGTTGATATTTTTCTGGGATTCAGCCAAGTAAATCACATTCATTAGAACCTTGGGTTCACTAGGGTTGTGTGCATAATTAGAGAAGCTCTCGAGTTCCAATGTGGGAAGCAGTTTAGGAATCCTTTGGGAGAATGTATCCAGCAGTAACAAACTCTTCCTACAACATGCTGAATATAGGACCCTGGTAATTCAGTTTAGGGTTTAATTCAGTACATCAGATTAGGCCTGATTTAATCTAGGATTGCCCACACCTATATGATGCATTTTTGAATGTGATCTTAATTAATATATGCATTTTACACAAACTTTGTCCTCGGTCAAAGGACATGACTTGGCTGAAGAACAGAATTTCCAACACAGTTTTACTCAGGGTAGACCCATTAAAATTGATGGGCATGACCAATTTAGACACAATAATTTTAATAGGTCAAATCTAAGGTAGTTACATACAACCCAAAGTATATATGCTCTACTGGTGAGATATGAATTCACCCATGGTGCATTTCTCTATTGCCAGTAGATTGATTTCAGATATTTTGATGAACTTCAATTTTTATACTATAAGAAAGTTCCCTTTAATAATAGAAAGGGTCACCAAGAAATGTCTTTCAATGTAATATACTTGGCTTGGATAATGTGTTGCATTGGGACTCTTAACACTGTATATTTGCCTTGTTAAATTCCTGTTACAAGCTTTCAACAGCTGTCTTAATTAGGTGTCCCATAATTAAGGAGATTATTACACTGATTGAATCGAACTCCATGTTTTTTGAGCTGGCAAAGATTTGCCATGGATTTGCACACAAAATCTGCATTTTCTGTTTATGAAGAAACTGTTTCAGTTTGAAGTCAGACAAACTAGAATGCAAGGTGGAGAAGGAAGCTTGTCAGGTTCTAACTGAACCACAGTTCAAAGCTTGTTACTGAATCAGTCCTGTGATGGTGGCATAGAAATAGTTTTTCCCACTGCTGTTGCATCTTCCCAGGGTTGTTCAGTGGAGCTTTTTCAAGTAGGTAGAGGCCTTTTGCAACCTGGCCCTAAGAGAAATGTAACTCTCAGTAGCATGCTGTGACATATTTTCAAGGCGCTTTGAAGACTCCACCATTACTGAAGTTCTATTGGTGGAGGTGCTCAGTGCACTGTCAGGTCCTCTTTTATTGAATGAGTTTCATTGATTGCAGTGTAAGATGGGATGGGCTAAGTAGGTAGTTTGGTCCTGTTTCGGTCTTGCTAGCACTCAATCATATGTCTGTTCCATCCCATTGTGTGCTGTTGTGTCTCATTTCCACCGTGTTGCATGCAATTCTGTGCCATTCTGTCCCTTTGTGTGCACCCTGTATGCAACTTGTGCATACATTTAAAATAAAATATAAACTTTTTATGTAAAATAGGTGTGGCCATAAATCAGCAGCCATGTGAACAGCAGCATGATGACAATTTTTCTCCCAAAAATGTAGTACAGAGAGAAATTACATGACTAAAACTTGCATTTTTATACATTTAAAAACATAAAATACATATTTTTGTGCAAACATTTTGTTCACTGAAAATGCAGCCAGGCCCTCAGGACTCTCCCCTAGCCACTCCACTGACCAGACCTGTTCCATGCCCACCTTAAGTGCTTTTCCCTGGCTAGACTATGCTGTTTAACACCTATTGCTTTGGAAGGGGATGGAGAGGTATATCTGTGTGTCTAGAAACCTCTGACCTCTCTCTGTGGCTAGAATGTATAAATGCAAGGATTGCATCCATTGCACTCCCTGCTTTTGCCACAAACCTTTGCCTCTAGTACCACCCACTTTTACCTCTGACTCTTCCAACCACGGGCTTGAGACCCCAAAGTTTTTGTATAAGTCAACAACATTACCCTATGATTGAAGATTTGAACTTAATCTTCTTCCTCAGGCCACATCATGCAAGACACACTATTCCATCCTAATACTGAGACTTTTTAAAAAATTGTGTGTGCTTTATGGAAGACGTTAGGAGCACTAGCAAAGCTGCATATAAATGATTTAAATACGTTTTTAAAAATAAAACTCTCCTTCTGTTGCTTTTACTATAGCATAGCACTTTTTAATTATTATTATTTTTTGCAGAAGTGTATCCTCATTCCATGAAGCAGCTTACAGTCTATTGAGCTTTATAATAACTGAGTTATTCTGATGCACACCCTATTAAAAACAGCATTAAAATCAGAAAATTGAGTGTTTCACAATATGTCACCTTTATCATGAAGACATAATAATTACACACATACCCCTGGAATGTAGAAAGCTGGCCACAAAGCAACAAACATTTACTGAAGCAAATGTGGTGATAATGAGAATTATTACCCTATTCGTTGCAGAAGAGAGTTGCTGTTACTCCCACTCTCGACACTCACAACTTTGTTATAAGAGTATATAGTGGTGCTAGCATCCATCTATTTTAAAAGTGCTACCAAAAGCAAATATGATTCGGCTTCTTAAAGTGCTGTAGAGAGCCGGTGTGGTGTAGTGGTTAAGAGCGGTAGTCTCGTAATCTGGGGAACCGGGTTCGCGTCTCCGCTCCTCCACATGCAACTGCTGGGTGACCTTGGGCCAGTCACACTTCTCTGAAGTCTCTCAGCCCCACTCACCTCACAGAGTGTTTGTTGTGGGGGAGGAAGGGAAAGGAGAATGTTAGCCGCTTTGAGACTCCTTCGGGTAGTGATAAAGCGGGATATCAAATCCAAAACTCTCTCTGTAGCTCATCTCAAACAACCTGTGTACAAATTTGGCTCCTAACAAAACAGGCGGTGCATAGAAGACATTTTGAATGTGATACTTTAGTTTTTGGTAAGCATTTTCACACACACTGATTTCCAGTGGCGGCTGGTACCCATTGGGACTGCTAGGGCAGAAGGCAGTTAAAAAACAAACAAACTGTGTAACACCAGAGCCCATGATGGGCAGAGCCAGAGCCAGAACCAATGACAGATGGAACCAACTATCCTATCCCTACCTTTCTCTCTGCACTGATACCCCCTAGGCTAGTGTCTCAAGACAAAAGCAAGGAGAAAGGCAGATAGGGGCTGACTGAGAGCAGGCTGAGGTTGCTCACCATAGATCAAAAACCACAAGAAGAATTTAAGTGTCACTTCACACACATTGATTGATTTATGTATTCATATATATATATACACACACCCCTCACTTTTTCTGTCCATATAGGAGTTTCTTAAATTGACTTACGAATAAAAAAGTTGTGTTTGTGGCAACCTAAGATGAGACAGAGAACCTGAGATAGGTGTATGTGTGTGAGTGTATTACTAACATGGAGGGGGGAATCTAAGGATGTGGGGAAAGTTTTATTCATTGCACATTTTAAAATAAGCCAACACAATTCAGAGCTGTGCACAAATTGGAACACACACAGTTAAGAAATTGATTGTGCACTTATCAAAAAATTGTACTACAGTTTCAGTTCCTAAAATGCATGCAAAATGAGAATTTTATGTGGAAAAGGCATACAAATGTGTGTATAATTTAAATGTGAAGTTTGTGGGTGGGTGTTGTGGGTGGGGATAATTAGCAGACAATGGGATGGAATACGCTTATGACTGAAGACGTGCAAAACTGACACGGAATGTATGTCAGTCTGATTCACCCAATCCTAAAAGGAACTGCTGAGAGGAGGGAGGAGGGAGAGAAAGGTCATGCATGGAAAAAAGAAGCATGCAGACGAAAGGCAAGATAAGACAGGAGAAAAAGAGTTGAGCAACACTGAGATCACTTATTAGAAGAAGGGAGGCTCAAGAGAGAAAGATAGATTCTTGCACAGTCCACTGACTAGGTAGCTAAGGGGAAGGGTAGTGTGTGGGAATTTACTAGCCAAAACATTGGCTGCAGGCCTCCAGTTATTTTTAATGGAGCTGAATTACACCAGCACTTTATAGGATGTATGCACAGTCACCTGTGAGTTATGGAGGTATGAGGTATTGAGGGATGTGTTTCTGAGTGATATACAGACATGTGTACATCATCCATAAATCCATGTCAGTGTCGTTTTGTAACAGCTATTGATGGGTCTGGGCTTCTTCAGATGGAGACAAATTATTATACAAGAAGCACTTGTTCCCTGCAAGAACTAGTACAGAATGCAACCTGTTTGTAGCTTGTCAACTACAGTGGACCAATATGTGTTTGCTTTTTGTGTAGATTTGTGTGTGTGATGGGAACCAACAGCCAGTCACAGCTTCCCAGGATATGTATCTTGCATAACTATGGAAAGGTGGTATACAAATTTGTATTGAGATAAACCAAATGTGATCATTCTATATAATGATCACCACACAGGTTGAATGCAGCTCTTACCATAGAGAAGTAATTCCCATGTGCAGCTTCAGAACTTGTTCACACATGCATATATATTCCTTCATTTCTCATTGTTCAGTTAAGGAACATGCATTGTCAGCTGAATGTCAGAACCAAATCCATGGGAGGAACTAAATCTTAAACAATATGAAAATTATTTTAGTTTTGATAGATATGTGATGGATGATCCTCATGTGCAAGTTGTCACTTGATGGTTGAAGCCATCAAGTGACAAATATGAACGACATCTTTAAAAAGCCCTGTTTATCAAGTAATTTATAAAGCAAGGTTCACCCATATATTTGTTTGCCATCACTTTAGAGAAAGAGCAATGCTGAACTTACAAATGGATTCCACACATTACCTGATCAAAATGTGCAAAGTCTTCAAGTGTTGTTGGAGGGTATGCACAAGTACAGTAAGCAGTGACTCTTGCATTCTGTGTGCATTAACCCATCAATGCACTTTTCTACCTTTCTACATTTGGGGACTATGCATTGTGAGTAATGCATAAAAAATTTCATGGAGGTTGTGCATCTCTGACCACATTCTTTATTCACTGTTAATTATCTGTAGTGACAGATTAACATGGAAAATCCCATCAATGGTCATTGGTCACACTTCCCACACTTGCACACATTCACTTGGCGAATCACACTAGCCCCAGTTTGCAACCAGCATATATGAGCTCCATTCTTTCCCACAAAGTCTTCAACCCATACCAGATAATCTAATATATATATATATATATATATATATATATATATATATATATGCTTCGGCACTTATTAGACAAAATCAGCCTAAGTCTATTTTGCTTATAATAATTTGCAGAGACACACCAGACAAAGACAATTCCTGTTCTACTGCATTGCCAAGACAGCAGATTGAGTTAAGCATAGAATTAGACCTGCATTGTCAGCATTTGATAAATATGTAATATGTGTTGCTGGCAGCTCTGTACAAGTTGAACAATGACACAAAATGTCTGCAGTGTCGGGGCTGACTATATCGGAGTGACGGATGAGAGATCATTGGAAACATCTCGTCTATAAAATTTTAAAATTCCATTCAATTTGAGGAAGCAAGCAGCCGAAATACCATTCTTTCCCCATCTTACTTTTTTCACTCTGGTATAATTCACTGGTGGTGATACAGACCTATGAATCTCACCCCATCCTTAACATGCTTAAATCAAATGGTTACAAAATGAATCCCTCTCTCTCTTCCCCCATACACATGTTCAATCTGTCTTCACACCTTCTGAATCCAGTTCTCTGAATGTATTAGCACATTTCAGTGCTAAGCCTCTGCATTAGCACTAACTCACTCATTTAATAAATGAAAGTACATTCTACCTCTCCAGAGTGTCATTCCTGTAATTTATCTAAGCAAAATCACTTTCATTATCCATCACCGTTTGATGGCAGTTTTTAAAATGAGTACCATTAGGATATCTTACAAGCTTCCTTTCATACACCCCCTTTTCTATTCGGTCATCTGTCTGTCTTCACATCTCAGGGAAATTAAATGTTCAACAGTTTTGTCATAGGCTTATCACTGAACGTGATCATCTGCTGCGAAAAATAATTTAATAATCCCTTCACAATTGCCCCCTTGTGTAGGAGTGAATCTGTGCTTGTTTGTCAAAGCTTTTTTTTTTTTTTTTTTTTTTTGAAGCAGGCAATGGTAATGAGAAGGAGGAATTGGTGGAGGTGTGCATCCTCCTCTGTTTGGTGTGCAGATTTTAGCCATGGGAAGTCATAGACTAATGGAAGCTGGCACTCATTAGAGGTGGTAGGGCAGAAGACAGGGAGGCCAGTTTTTCGTGGAGACATAACAAAGGAAAGCATAGCCACTAATTGTTTGCCTGTTTGTTTGAAAATGTCTGTATAGGGGGAGAGAAAGGGTTAATATGTAGACCAGTAGGAAAGCCGGAGGCAGAGCCTACCTGTTCATAAAAGGGCTTCACCCGAGGTTTGGGTTAGGTGGGTAGTTGGTTGGTTTTAGTGGGTTGGTTGGTTGGGAAAGGCAGTTGGGAAAGCAGTTAGCAGACAGTTGGAATTAGAGAGACAGTTAGTGCAGTTGGTTCTTGTGTGGGGGGAGGTAGAAGAGTTAGAGACAAGGTAACAATAAGACTAATAAGGTAAAGATAAACAACGTTTTGAATGCAGTTAAAGTATATTTGTGTCTGCAATAAACTACACTCTTCTTTGTTAACTTAAGAACCTGACTGAGACTAAGTGATTTACCAGGGAGGACCTGGTTGGTGGCAGCGGATTAGTGGTGTAAGGGTCAATAGTCCATGAGATGACCGGGGGCTCCCTATGAACACCACAATCATCCTCCTCCTTCTTGAGCTCTACCGAAGCAACACTGACTCCAAGGAGAAGTAAGCTGACAGTCAGGACCAGCATCCTCTGGACTAAGTAGGCTAAGTAAGGAGGTAGGCAGCTGGCAGGTGGCTGCAGACTGAGCTTGGTGGGATAGTGCCTCACTTGCCGTAAGGGAGCAGTTTCCATGGTCAGTGATAGGCTCTGAAAATTCAGAATCATTTAGTTCATCACCTCACTGCAGGATGCAGTTTCAGGATCTCTGAAAGGTTGCCAAACCAGTTTGGCTGGCGGTGGGCGGAGGACATAGCTCATTAGTAGAGCATCTGCCTTGCATGCAGAAGGCCCCAGATTCAATTCGCTGAGGTAGGGCTGAGAGAGACTCATTGTCTGAAATCCTAGAGAGCCACCATTCACTACTGCCATTCAGGTTAGACACTCACTGGCTGGATCATCACCTTGTGGTGACTGGGCTTGCATGTTCCTATGATCCTTATGAACAAAGCCATCAGGAGTCTTGTACTCCCAGTAGGGTCACCCAAGGAGGTAAGGTCAAGGGGGAGAAGCTAGACAAAGAATGATCCAAGAAATCCTCAATGGCAGAACAGGTGGAAGATTACACACATTATGTTACAACAGCTGTGAAGGTGGATGAAGGCTACAGCAGATAAAAAACCTACTGTTTGTAGTGATACTCATGCCACTGGAAAAGAGCCTTACTGTGAAGACTGTGTGTTGATCAGCGCGCACTGATCTCCACACATAAAACAAATTCACACACAGGTGTATTCAAGGTAGACACTACTGAGCTAGATAGACCCAATGGTAGAACACAATGTAAAGCAGTTTCCCAGGTTCCTATAACATTGCTGAGCATCCCAACTTCGCTCCTAGGAGCACAACACAATTCCTTCCTCTACCGTTTCTCTGATTGTGACAGCAACCCAAGGCCACTTTTGGGTTGCATTTACATTGCTGATGACATCTCAGCTCTAACAAAGCGCATTTGGTCACCCTCACTGTGTGTTTCAAGGACTACATCATGATCTCCTAGTTCAGGGGATGAGTTGGGAATTTGAAGTGGGGGCCCCCAGAGCCAGCCTCAAAGGCACTTGTCTGACAGGAGCCTATTATTCCACATTACCTGCCTCTGACTCTGAGAGTTCCAACTCAGAAGTCCTAGCAGAACTGCATTCTCCCCTGCTCTGTCAGAATCAAATATTGCTAAAGGTGACTATGCCCCAGCAAATGAAGAGAATCTTCTAACAGAAGGCATGACTTGCTTTTCAGACAGAGAAACAGTTCCTATTTAAGGCTTAGCCTGAGAATAGTCCTATCCACATGTGATGTGTAGGACATTTCCATGGTAACTGTGGTGTGGGGATGCACTTTTAGCCTCATGTGCAAATGCTTTCTGCAACAATTATGTGTTGCATGTGGTTGCCTGTAGAGAAATCTCTATATGTGACCACCTATTCCTGTAAAGCAGTTTCGTGTGACCAGTACATCCTAATGTTCAGGTGTCATAGTCATTTGGAGCCCCTACACCTGTGTAGCTGCTTGTGCATTGGGATTTCTTTGCAGACAATTATCATTATACTGCTCCCACCCAATGGCAGGTTAGATATCCATTCCCTGTACTCACTAGACAATGGGAAATGCAGTCTGGAAAAGATAACTTGAAGGAGCAGGAAGTTATTGAGCCAAAAGACTCCTGCCTAATAATAATAACTTTGTAACACAGGGAGTGACCCTCTATGTACTGGGTGCAAAGAATAAGCAACAAAAGGAATTGGATAAAATCTCTGAAAATTGTTGTGGTGATTCAGAGGTTTAACCTGAAATCAAGCTAGATTTAAGTTTGTTAGTGTCTCTGGTATCTTCTGTCTCTTACATCATGGATGTTGGCTTGTGTTGTGGATGGATGATCTGTATTATTTTGTTGATGCTATTTTTGTAGGTTTTTCCTGGTCTCTTGCTAAAACAATATACTTATGAACTATAGATGGACATATGGGTGCATATGTGTTAACATATGCATCAGGATTTCTCTTCAGAGAACTGTATGCAATATACAGTTGTCTCAGAAGGCAAGTCTAATGTTGGTGACAGAGCTAAAAGTGCAGCCCTATTCTGTAGTCAAAGCTGAATTTCCCTACACATAAGAAACATTTGAGTGGGACTACAGACTGCTACTGAAACAACACCTGACTCTGTCTCCAGCCTCAACCCTGCACAGAACTGTTCAGAGTACTACTGATGGCTCATCATGCCTCACCTTTGCACTGCTGAGGCCATCACTCAAAACAGAACAGCGTAAACTGTCTCATGGAAATCATAATTATAGGCATGCATCTCATTATTCCATCAGCAAAAGTGTGCTTGCAGTCCCACAACAGACTCCACAGCTACAGATGTTTCGCTGAGATCAGAATTTGGATTAATTGTCTGCCACAATTTGAAATATGCACCAGTTAATATAAATGATTATTAGCCTCTTCAGCAACAGTTTTGGGGTAATGAAATGTCACAGATTCATTTTAATGAAATTATTTTTATATTTGGCTTGCAAGAGAAATAGAGCTGACAATCAGCGAAAGAATGAGTTCTAATTTTTTTGTGTAAAAAAAAAAAAAAAAAGCTCACGATTATGACAGCTGCACCAAATTAGCCAAGGCATATGTGACGCTGGGTTAGAACAAAATCCATTTGTCAGCTAAATCTGATAAAGTATGTATTATCCCTCTTCATATTTGGATTTTTTTATGATAAGGTTTCACAGAATAGTCACAAACATCAATTTATTGCTATTAAGACAGGTTCCCCCCCAAGGTGCTTTTGCTTTAGGGATAGGCAAGTAACTTTCATGTGACATTGGTTGCTTCTAGACAGTTGCCTCTTTTCAACTGCTGACAAATCCAGGTTGCACAGGTAAAACTGATTTGGAGCTTTTGTGCAACTAATTTGCCCCCCCCCCCCCAAAAAAAATGACTTTTAGTGATAAGAAAAGCAGTGGGGAAATGCATTGGAGTGTGTGAGACAACAATTATTTGGTGCACCTTCATATAACCTCCCACACAACCGCTCCCACCCCCAAAGAATGCTCTACAGATTTGTTGTTTAGTCATTTAGTCGTGTCCGACTCTTCGTGACCCCATGGACCAGAGCACGCCAGGCACTCCTGTCTCCCTCCCGCAGTTTGGCCAAACTCCTGCTGGTAGCTTCGAGATCACTGTCCAACCATCTTGTCCTCTGTCGTCCCCTTCTCCTTGTACCCTCAATCTTTCCCAGCATCAGGGTCTTTTCCAGGGAGTCTTCTCTTCTCGTGAGGTGGCCAAAGTATTGGAGCCTCAGCTTCACGATCTGTCCTTCCAGTGAGCACTCAGGGCTGATTTCCCTAAGAATGGATAGGTTTGCAGTCCATGGGACTCTCAAGAGTCTCCTCCAGCACCATAATTCAAAAGCATCAATTATTCAGCAAGCAGCCTTCTTTATGGTCCTGCTCTACAAATAGTCAACATCATATAGCCTAACCACCCCCTGACTGGTTTTCTTTTCTGTCTTAAACTATCCTACGACATTGTTCTGTCTGAAGTATAAGGACCCCAGTGTCAGAGTTGGAGTCAGTACTGAAAGTCTGGATAGAAAAATAATAATTGTGGACTATGTTAGGAGATCGACAAGCCACAAGCCTCACTAACTTTAGCTAAGTCATGACCTCTGTACCCTTCTGAATATAGTATATAGAATGGAATTAATAGCTATTGGCTCCCCACTTGTGGAATGCTCTCCCCAGAGAGGCTCTCCTGGCAACTTCATTGCATATCTTTAGGTGCCAGGCAAAAACATACCTGTTATTCCAGGCCTTTGGTTAATTAAGCAATCTATGGCCTTTTAAACTGGGGGAGCATTGTGTTTTTTTGTTACTACATTGTGTATTTTTATATTTTTATATTGTAAACCACCCTGAGATCGTTGGATGAAGGGCAGTATAGAAATTTAATTAATAATAATAATAATAATAATGTGTGTGTGTGTGTGAGAGAGAGAGAGAGAGAGAGAGAGAGAGAGCAGATGGAATAGAGAATTGTCTGCCTGCCTATCCATTATCCATGCATTCTGAAACATCTGAAGATACTGTTGCCAATATTGGCACAATGATTCCTGAGATGGAGGGTGCAGTTTCCATCTATACTTGAATACCACACTGGACACCATTTTGAATCCTTGAATATCATTGGACACCATTCTGAATCAAGATGGTGGACCAAACCATCTGATTTGGACACCTTTTAAAGATATCAATACCAAATGTGGCATGATGGCCCCTGTGATTCAGTTGCAAGTTTTGGTCTATGTTTAGATACCATGAGATGCCCCTTTGGACCAAGATGATGGACATAACCTAACACAACTGCACTGATTTTGGACACCTATTATACCTGCCATCCCCTGCTGGAGGAATTCTAATCAGAGGAGTACCTGGCATTTCCGAAAGCAAATGTTACAGAGAAGCAAAACAGAGAGGTAAAGCAGGGGAATATGGGGCCTTCGTGAGTCATAGCAGCCCAACCTTCTCCACGAGACACAAGGGATCCCTACACAGCATTGGAAGCAGAGGTTGAACCACTACCAAGTTTTGGGAGGAGCCAACACCTAAAGGTGTAGATCCAGTCAGCTGCCTGCCTGAAGAACGACTCCTCAGAAGTATGTGGCTACTTGTGAGGACCAAACTCTACAGATGGCCCAGAGGTGGTTAAAAGCTTACAGTTTCTAGCAGAGAGTGCTCAAATAACATTAACCCTCTAGTGTGTATTGTGGTTTGGACTTCCTTGTGTTTTGATATTTTGATATTGGGCAGTCACATGTTTTGGGTTGCTCCTGTGAGTTGACTTTGGATCACTGGATTTGATTTTATATGAAGTAGGATAGTAAACAAGCTTTGCATTATGGCCCATGAAATTTAAGAGGAGCTTTGTCCCAATGTTTGGATACAATTGGATTGTGTTTTGAATCAAGATGACAAACTGAATCTTTCAAAAATGCAACGATTTTAACCAAAATTGGCAGGGTTATATATATTATAGTTCACCCTCCAGTGCATAAGAATGAAAATACTGGGTTTGGCTGTATCCTGAAAAGGACTGGGTGGATTATGGTGGACTGGAGCTTCAGCAGAGTTGTCTGAGACTGCCCTAGATTGCCCATGTGATGTGACCTAGTACTGTCAAGGGGTGGCAGTGTGCGCCAGTTTGCAACAGGACTTTCAAACAGCCCTGCACTGTGTTTTGGCTATGCATGACTTTTGTAGCACTTTTGCTCATGTAAGGCTGGGCATATCACCTGTCTGAAACCCTTAAGATCTGTTGCTAAGC